AGTTGTAAAGCCATTTGTAAGCAGTAAAGTTATCTAAGAAGAGATAAACTAGTACAGAAAAATAGCTAAACACAAGGAAAGAAAGAAAACACTGCTCTGATACCACTTGTTGGTCCCCTAAGGGTCTACAAGAAGAGAAACAGTTTGCAGAAGGGGGGATGAATACAAACACAATATTTTCAAATTTAAAACATATATTGATAGAGAAGATCAATACAGATTTTACAAGATTGTTTGCGGAAAGATAAGGTAATAAAAACCTATCTAAACAATCTTTGGTTACACACAAAGCCTTAGCAATTACAAGAAAAGAAGTTGCTAAAAGAAAGATCATTTACTTAAGTTAGAAGATGCTTGAAGTAAGAATTAGGTTAGAGAGAGTGATGCGCTCTCTGCATGGAGAAGAAACACTTATATTTATACCCAATGCATTAGGTACCATTTAATGCAATATGGTAGGTTTAGAGTGCGTGTCAAGCCTTAAGAGGAAGGCTTGTCCTTTGCTACAGTGAATAGTACAAAAGCACTATTCATGAGCAGACATCCTTACCTAAAGTTGGTGGACAAAGAGTCATAGTCGGCTCCGTATCGTACTATCTTTCGTAAGGGTATGGGTTTTGTCCAATGTGTGCATAAGGACAAGACAACAACAATCGTGCTAAGCAAGCTTCCTTTGATCGCTGAATGCTGGAATGACCTGAATGTCTCATCATCATTCGCTGAAGCTTGAGCAGTCTTCACACATATGTAGACAGGCTTGTAATCACTGATTACCGCTTCAGATCACGTACTCGCCGGTCTCTAATCTTCAGTTTCAGTCTTCGWYGTTTRCTGAAGSTTMTTTRGTRTGAGTGTTGTCTTCTTGAAGTATTGCTGTCTCTGATAGATTTACAATGCAAGTTCTTCAGTGATCACTGAACATACTCAGTGAAGATCGCTGAAACTGAAAATACAGAAACATAAATACAACGTATAGGTGAAAAGGGGTTATCATCAAATCACTGAGAGAGATGATCAACATTATTGTTATTTATAATAATTAGATTTCAATTTTTAGTTGGATTGCTTTGTGCTTAATCAATAAATTGAGTAGCCAAGCTTTGTGACACACGTGCATTCAGTTTTAACACGAGTTGTTACCTTAACCACAGACCCCTGAGAAGAACGATACCCAACTTACCTTTTATTGGTTTGAGTTAGGTTTATAAATTTAAGCCTTGTTGTGTGTTTAACTACGCGTGCAACACTTAAATTCATTTTTGTGTTATGAAAGTGGAATAGAAATATTGTAAGAGGATCTTCAATAAATTATCTAATATAGAAAAAATTGGATATTTTACAGATTTTTGATTAAATTGTTGCTTTTTCTTAAATAAAAAAAAGTATGCAGTAGATTGTAAAATTCTTTAAATTTAGAGCATTGTGTGAAAATAATTGTTTATGAGAAAAAACTATTATTATCCTCAATAATAAGAGTTATTGAAATTAAATACTGAGTATCTTCAACAACTATGTTATTTTAGAGGAGACAGGATTTGAACCCATGACCTCAAGGTTATGAGCCTTACGAGCTACCAAACTGCTCTGTCCCGTGATTTTGAAATTTAAAAAAAAAATATTTTATTCCAACTTTTAATAGCTATACTAAACATTCCTTTAAAATAGAGAAAAAAGAAAAAAATAATGAAGAGATCTTTATATTTGAAAAAAAGAGTAATCTCTTCTTATAAAAAGAGTAAATTATGTTTTTTATTCATGTGGTTTGTTAAAATTATGGGTTTCGACTTTATGGTTTTGAAGTTTGATTTTCATCCTTGTCGTTTGTAATTCATTTTTAATTTTGTCCTTGAAGTCAAAACACTACTATTAAGCATGAAGAACTAAAATAGAAATGAATTGTATGAAAAAAATAAAATTTTAAATTATAAAGATAACAAAAAAGTTATGAATTATAAACAATAGAGATGAAAATCGTAATTTCAAAATCATAGAGACATCAACAAACCACAGATACTAGCAACGTAATTTACTCTTGTAGAAATAAGGTGTAATACTGTTTTTAAGTTTTGATTTTTGATTTTTGATTTTTTGATTTTGAAGAAATAATTGGAGATTGCTTCTTTTAACAATGGTGTGTTGGAAAAATGTATGTTTACCATCGATGAATTTTCTTATATGCATCTTTAATGTGTAAAATGCATAAAATAACAATCTATTTTTATAAATTTTGTTATTATAATATTGTACTTACAAGTTTTCCTATAACAACAATGTACTTACAAACTATTCTTTATTAGCACATTATACTTTGAAAATTTTATTCATTATAGTATTGAGTAGCCTTTTCATTTAAATTTACCCATTATACCCGGTTTTCATGCCACCTCATTATCCATGTAGATTGTTCACATGTGCTATAGTGATGTGACTTTCTTATTACAATATTGTACTTTCAAAATTATTTTATTATAGCATCTACTGGTTATTATTAAACAATGTACTTTTATTTTTAATATTTAGATATTTAACATATTATTTAATAAATATATTAAATGAATCAAAAAATTTCTAAATTATTCATTAATATACCAGTATTAATAAAACTAGTAGAAGACAACTTATCTGGTTAATATTTTAAAAAAATATATGTTTTTTGAAAAAAGAAAATAAGAATAGTTCATTTTTTACCAAAAAAATATTATCTTTTAAAGAATATATTATATTTGTTAAAAAACTTTTACTTGACGTATAAATATATTAAATTAATTAGATTTTTTGAATTATTTATTAATATAACAATATTAAAAAATTATAAAACACACTTTATTTCGTGAACATTTTATAGAGAAGTTTAAAAGATATGCATTTTTTTAAACAACATAAAATAAGAAGTGTTACCTTTTTTACAAACAAAATATATCTCGAAAATAATGTAGTCATATTTATTTAAGAAATATTTTACTTTAGAATATTTAATTTGCATGTAACTTAATAAGAAAAGTCAAAAAAATTAAATGTTTTTTAAATCATAGTAATGAAAAATAAAAATCATTAATAATAATTTAAAATAGATTTTTGTTTTTATTTTAATTAAGTCATCAAAATGATATGTCATTCACATTATCTTATTAAAGCAACAAAAGCAAAAAAAAAATTAAGGAATTAACCGGTTTAAAAAATAACAAGTTATCTATTGTTATAATTGGTAGATTTTTTAAAATATGATACCTTAATAAAAAATAATTTAAATGTATATTATTGTAATAAAAAAACAAAATAAAATATTATAATAAAAAAATTTATGAAAATAAGGTGGCGTTTGGTTCGCATATTCCGGAGGAATCTGAAGGAATTGGAATGTTGAATTCCTTTGACCAGATTCATTTCCTTCGTTTGGTTCATTCTTTTCAGCGAAAGGAATCTTCAGATTCCTATGAATTCCATGGATAAAGGATTTTAACATTCCTTAGCAACTACATGGTATTTTGATGGAATGGAATCTCTATATTCATTATACCAAATATGCTCTTAACCTAATATACTATAATCTCGTAAAACTCAATGTGACCATCGTCGACCACCTCTCGACCATTATTGATTTGAACCACCGCCGACCACCACCACCACCACCGATCTGAACTACCGCCGACCACCACCACCGATCTGAACTACCGTCGACTACCACTGATCTGAACCACCGCTGACTACCACTGACGACCACCACCGCCGACTACCACCGGTCTGAACCACCATCGACCACTACCGATCTAAACCACCACCGCCGACTACCACTGGTCTGAACCACCGCCGACCACCACCACCACCACCACCACCGATCTGAACCACCGCCGACTACCACCGATCTGAACCACCGTTAACCACCACCATCGCCGACTACCGCCGATTTGAACCACCGCCGACCCCCATTGATCTGAACCATTGCCGACCACCATTGATTTGAACCACCGCCGACCACCACCGCCGATATGAGTCACCACTKATCTGATTCACCGTCAATCTGAACCATCGCCRATAATCGCCATCTGAACCATCATGGACCACCACCGATCTAAACCACGCTGACCACCACCCCCGACCGACTACCACCGATCTGAACCATCGTCGACCACCTCCGACTACCACCAATCTGAACCACTGTCGACCACCACCACCGACTGCCACCRATCTGAAATACCGTCAACCACCACCGACTACCACTGATCTGATTCACCATCAATCTGAACCTCTGACGATAACCGCCATCTGAACCACCATGGACCATCATCGATCTGAACCACTGTCGACCATCGTCATCTGAACCACCACGGACCACCATTGATCTAAACCACCRCCAACTACTACCGATCTAAAGCACCATCGATCTGAACCACTGCGGACCACCACCATCTGAACCACTGTGGACCACCACCAATCTRAACCACCGTCGACCACCGTCGATTTAGTAACGTCGTTTGGCTTATGATTATATTTGGGTTGTGTATTTTATATTATTTTACATATTAAATAATTATTTTATTAATAGTATTTTTAGTTTTAAAAAAATTAAAATTTTCAAAAAAGGGCATTTTGGTCATTTACCAAAATTTTATTCCAATTCTAAAGCTACATTCTGTGAACCAAACAGAAAGATTCCAATTCCTTAACAGATTCCATTCCAATGTCTGCCAACCAAACAGGTGGTCAACCCTGACAACATTCCATTCCAATTCCTTCAAAGTCAAATTCCTTTAACAGATTTCATTCCATCCAAAAACATTCTGCAAACCAAACGCCACCTCAGTTTTCATTTTAACTATCTTTAATACCACAAATGTGAACGGCTGCCTTCAACTTCAAGCATTCATACACCATCTTTAGAAATGGCGGAAAGCCACGCGCTTTTTTTTTTGGCTAAAGTGGGTTTTATTTTCTATACGCGCTTATGTAGGGCTTTTTTTATTGCGTGCAATTGTCAAAGATTCTCCGCCTGCTTCATCGATTTATCATTCTTAACGTTTCAGGTTAATTCGTTCGATTTTCACGTTTTTCTTTGGAACTATGCTTTAATCCGATTTCATGTGTTAAACTTATATTTCTGCAAACATGAATACGAATCAGGTGAATCAAGGGACGATTGAAAATGGAGGGGAGGATTCCGTCGCTGTTCTAACGCCGCCGTTATCGTTGGATTGTGAGTCGGGGACTGATTATAGAGCACCCAATTTGCTACATCGTATATTGGCTCTCTTGAAGAATGTACGGCCAGGATCTGATCTCACTCGGTTTTCGGTATGTTTTTTTTTCTTTCTGCAAATATGTGTTGAATTCATTATCATTTTTATTATTATTACTATTTACCCATGAATGCTTGAAATGGAGGTTGGTTGGTTGTTTATGGCGTTATATTGATGATTGACCTAAGGGCTCTTATTCGATGGTTGGTTGGTTGGTATTGACTTTTGACTTGGAATTTATTGCCATCTAAAGGATAATTTGATATGTATGTTTCAAAGATGTCAAACCCAGAATCTGTCTAAATTTTTATGTTTGTTGCAGAATTCAATCTATTGGTAAAATTGAAGCATTATGATCAATTTTGTGGTTGGTGAGAATATATTTAAACCGTTGATAATTGATTTGATCTAACAGCCAAACCATCGCAGAAGTTCAATAAAAAACACTTACCTTCAGCTACCTTCATCAACCTTAATCTTTAGTTTCACTTACATTCACAAACTTTTACATACCTTCAATCACTTTCACATGCATAGATTTTTTAAAGTTAAAGCTTTAGTCATGGAGATAAAAATAAGTCAATAAAGGTGGTTGAAGGTTTTATTCTCACATTCTCACCATACCTCTTATTCTCACACGATCCCAAGTCTATATACACACACATTAATGCTCTTTCCAAAAGCTGTAGATCATAGAGCTCAAGTGAAGTCTTAATTTATATATACACCTTAATGATCTTATAGAGTTATGGATGTATACCGTTGAAAGCATAGGTTTTGATAACTTAACTCAAGCAACAATGTAATGTAGAAACATGAAAGCGGTTTTCTTTATTTTATTTTTTGTTGTGGTTTGTGTCCCCTTCATCTATATTAATTTTTCTGATGAATATATGATGCTGCATTTCAGTTACCACCCATCTTCAACATCCCCAAGTCACAGCTTCAATGTTATGGAGAATCAGTATATTGTGTGAACAGTGACATGCTTACAAAATGTGCAAATGGTGAGACCCCACTTGAGAGATTCATATCGGTTGTTGCCTGGACCATATCTACTTTACGCCCTCTGATGTTTGGTGTGGCTCCCTACAATCCTATCCTTGGAGAGACTCACCATGTCTCGAGAGGCAACCTAAATGTGCTACTCGAACAGGTCTTTTTAGCATTTAAATGCCCGCTTCGTTTAGTTATTCTTTTCTTTGGTAACCGCCTTTATTTGCTAGTTGAGTTTGATCCTCAAGGTTTGTGTTTTTGTTTTTTTTATTCTTGCAGGTTTCACACCATCCACCTGTGACGGCCCTCCATGCTACAAATGAGAAAGACAAGATCGAAATGACATGGTGTCAATATGCAATTCCAAAATTCTATGGTATTAACAAGGATAGTATAGTTCTTTTAGTTAAACATACGCCCTACTCTCTGGGTAGAGGACAGAGGTGGGATATACTGGGCTTGTTTGGTTTCTTTTTGTATAATTATGCTGCCCCTTTATATCATATAGGCACCTCCATTGAAACTCAAGTGCTTGGAAAAAGACAGCTGAAGCTCTTGAACAATGGTGAAACTTACGTGATGAACTCTCCAAATCTTGTTATAAAGTTTCTTCCTGTGCCTGATGTGGAGTGGTTGGGCAATGTCACAGTTCGATGCCAAGAAACTGGCCTTGAAGCCGAGTTGTGTTTTAAAGGCACTTCTTTTCTAGGCAGACGAGGAAATTACAGGTCGATTAAAGGAAAAATTCTATCTTCAATGAAGACTATTTACGAGATCAGTGGTCATTGGGATAGGTATAGCTCCGTTACGTCTAACTCCATTTAGTGTAGTTGAATTATGATAAATAATTTTTGACACAATAATTACATATAGTTTAATGAAATCAGTTTTCTTTGTGAATCTTACCCAGGACTGTGACTATCAAGGATATCAGCAATGGAAAAATGACGGTGATTTATAGAGCCAAGGATGTGATTTCTGCCATGAAAACACCCGTTGTCAAGGATGTGAAGGTACTAATTTTTCTGCATTCATATTAGTAAAACTACAAGATAAAACTATTAATGTTTGTTTGTTACATTATGTTCTATTCTCCTTGGGGTAGGGGTCTAAATAAGCCGAATTGAATAAAATAACAAACGGATCAAGTTTGACTAATTTTGACAACAGAAAACCAAACCAAACCAAACCTAACCTAACCTAACCTAACCTAGCACGTGAAGTATGTTCCATCTAGAAGTAGGGTCCTGGGAATAAGATGCATGCAGACCGGACCTGACCAGACCTCTCCCCAAGAGAGTAGAGCGGGTGTTTTGCAGGAAAACCTCTGGCTTGCTAAATTGTTTGCAAAAAGATTTCGGTGGAGCACCGAGTGTTTGTCAAAAAAATTTGGAAGAAATTGAAAAGCAGGGAGGAACTTGAGACCAAAAGGTAAATTACGAAGAGCTTATGAAAAGAAGAACCAAAACTAGAAAACAGTAAAAGAGGTTACACATGTACGTTTGTGAAAAAAATATTTTACAGTTCTCTTAAAGGAAACAGCCTCTCTACCCTCTCCTCAGACCCTATCATATACTGGTTTGGTTTATCTACAAGTGGAGGAACACTTTCATAGCACTAACACATGTATGCTTTAGAGTACAACCCGATAATGCATTCAACTTGCTTCTTTTTTTGGAATAAACAATATTTATATATGGTAAAACTCACTCTCTCCTTACTTTGGTGGTTGCTTTTTGTGAGGCTTGAACCCTTTGACCTTAACAACCTGGATAGTAATGGATGAAGTTATACATGAATCAGGGATTATGGGCAAATGAATCTGCTGTGGTATGGGCAAAAGTTAATGAAGGAATTCTGAACAAGTCCTGGGATAAAGCAAAGGATTCCAAGACAGCGATTGAAGATAAAGAAAGAGAACTGGTAAGAAACAGGATTTCAAAAGGTGAAGCTTGGGTTCCAAACCATTTTGTATTATCTAATTGTAAACAAGAAACTGGTGAATGGGAATGGGAATGGGAGGTTAAACCAAAACATACAAAGGTCCCTCCAGCTCCTATCAGTGTCCCTCTTTGATCATTCTCCCAATAGTTAGGATATATATTGTGTATATTATTGTGAATGCTTTTAATGTTTTTATGGTATAGGATCTGGATGTAAGTTGATTTGATTCAAATCTAGAAATGGCTTCCAAATGGAGGATCATCAAGGCTCGGGCGACTTGACAAATTTGGCTAAGCTCCAATTCAATGTAGGTTAAGTTTGAGCTTGGCTATAGGAAGGTTAGAGACACCATTAGATTAGAAGGGTGAAAGCTATAGAGAATTTTCATAATGTTATGGTAGTTTAGTCGGTTATCCTTTGCTAGGGATGGTTGTGGGTTCCATCTTTTTCACAAAATTAAAATTTAAAAGGTGAAAAACTGGACATTTCTGATTTCTGTTATAAGTTTGGTTTTATAGCATTTGAGGACACCCCTCAAAAGTAAGCAAGTAGTTTTCGCCTCTCAGCAGCAGGTGCACCCTTGCAAATTTCTATTAAAGTTGTCATTGTATATTAAAAAAATAGAACAAAGGAAACGATTCATCTATTTTAATGTAACGTTATAAATAATAAAGGCAATTATATCTTTAATCCAACCAAGACCCAACCGGATTTCTTTGTTTTTTTATCCGAATTCTCCCTTCAACCTTCCTTGTATACGCTTTAAAAAATAGTGTTCAAAGAATAATATTATTTATCATCAAAGGACAATCATCAGACCATTTACATTATAAGAGAGAGTATCAACAAATAAGCATATACTGGTTGGGTTCCTAGCAAAGAACAGCCAACCATCAGTCCCCACTAGCTGCTACTCATCTCTTGTTCTAGCTTACAAAAGTGCAGCCATTGCAATGGCTCTTACATCAAACTCCCATCAATTGATACAACATATATATATATATAGCCCATGGATAAATGGCCAAAAATCAAAATCAGTAGAGAAACAGCAGTTTCAGAATCTCTCTTCTCGTTATCGACTCATATGGACCCCACCGTTTGCTGTTACTTGAAATGATCCCATTCGACCCTTTTGATCTCTCGAAAATATGAGCTTTACAACAATGTGAAAAAGGGCAAGACACCAAAAAATCGTAACAAAAAACATCATAATGTCTTTCGTGCTCAAAACATTGTCTGATTCGTGAAAAGGTCTATCATTCGGTCTAGAGTCTCTGGTAAAAATTTCCTTGCGAATAAGTAACATGGCCTGTTTATCCCATTCCACAGACAAGGCTTAACCATGGTTTCCTTCTGCACAATTTAGAAGACGATTTATATTCAAAGATTCTTTCAGGCACAACTTTAACAACCCGTCCCAATATTACAAGTGTTATTAGGCCAGCCTGCTGCTTTAGACTTGGGGCCTTCCAATAACCAAGATGATGAAGAAGAAGAAGAGTAAGAAGAAGAAAAGGAGATACCTTTTCATCACTTGTAACATGAACACTCTCACTGATCGACTGCAAAACATAACAGGACCAAAATGCATCAAAAACCCAAAGAAAATTTGGTGTCTCGGGTGGTTTTTATCATCAACCATCATGAGCATACCGTAATGTTTTTGATTAGTTGGGGAGATATGTCTTGTTCTTTGTAGGATTTTGGATGCCATTTTCCTTCGGACCAATCAACGTGTGTTACTGACCAGTTTGCAATCCCATTTGGATCAAGCAACTGAACATTCAAACCGGAAAACAGTCGTGTGTAATTAAGTTGAAAGGCATCCCCCAAATTCGTCAAAATTTTAAAAAGATTCGATAAATGTTCTCACGTGGAAAAAGGTTGGCAAATAATGTTCATCAGCATAGCAATTGCGCCCATCCATACCAGGCTGCGATACAAGAATAGATGCATGCAAGTTATTAAATTTCCAAACAATTCTTCATCTCAGTGGAAGAAAAAACAAAATAAAATTTTCATTTGGTAGAGTTTCCAAACAGTTACTGACATCTTGAAATTGCTAACGATAACAAATACGAAAAATGGACTCACCTTGCAATAATCCCTGAATTTGGTATAGTAGAGACTATCAGCCATAACTATGATTGCATGTTGGCGCTTCATCGTGAACCACTGCACCAAGTTTAACGTCAACACTTGCATCAAATTACAGATACTATAGATTGTAATAGAAAACGATTTCCATAGAATCCATGTTTGGCAAATTAGCTAGCTGTTGGCTGCAAAACAAGTTGTAAACTTTAGCATATACCTGTGCTCCCTTCCTAAAGAATTTCTTTTCGACTTCAGGTAACATGTGGTCGGAGTACCGGCCACTTCCATGTGGACCAGGATCCTCAAAGCTAAGAAACACCAGAAAAATTCAATGTTGTTAATCAAGTTAACATTTTTCCGTTAAAAGCAATTAAAAGATTAAGAAATTTATTTGAGGCTGCAAAGCCAGTCACATGATCCTCCTTCCCTTCCAAGAAGAGTGACATTGTGATGTTTAATTTCAAAACTTTCTGAATGCAAAATTGATATGATTGCTCATTTGACACCGAAAAAAAAAAGATAAGATTCATGGTATTCCGACAGATTTAAGAACCTAACACAAGTACCCGTCAAAGAATCTGTTAGAAAGTCGTGCATTTAAAAAATATTATATGCCTGAAGGTTATTCTCCTAAATAACTTCTTCTACTTGTAAATAGAGCCAGTACAAACAGCACTCCCTTTGTTGCATCAACATTCATCGTTAGAAAGTTTTCAAGTTAAAATTATTTGCCCATCCTTGTCAAGATATTGAATTGGGTCCACAAAATTCTCTCATTTATTGAAGGTTATTTTGTACATGTATCAGAAGTTTTCACAATTGGCCTAGTCAAAATTGCAATTCATGGGACGGAAGGAGCATCACCTTTGGAGTTGAAAAGGATCGATTTTGACATGGCTATATTTGTTTGGAATGGAGTAACAGAATTCAACAACTTAGTACATACCTATCGATGAAGCTGACATTTGTGTACATAAGATAATTGTAAACATAGTCAAAATCGTGCAATGGTACACAGCTGAAATGCAAAACAAGAATTTTATAGCAAAATCAGACTAACAAGCATAAGAATGGGGTAGAGGGAGGGGGAGAGAGATGGTAACCTGTCGGAAAGTAATACAAAGTGACGATTGTCAGGATCTTTCAGTGCATTTGCCAACAGTCGTTTCTCTGCATCAACCATTGAAATTTTTCCCCAATCTACCTGCATAATAGATGAACTAGTAATTAGTAATAATACAGCTATAGCACTAGTTATTAAGAATCAGTAAATCCTATTTTCATGAATCTTGAATCTCAAATCTTGGGTTGCTTCCACTTTTGCTAGAGTATTTAGACAAAGCATAGAAAGTAAGCATTTCAGTGTTTCTTGAGCATAGCAAGTGCTAGGCATAGTTGAAATGGAAAGCTCTCAAGTCTCTGATAGTCCAATGGCCAATTTAGATAGTATTTTTTCTCTTTAATTGCTTGAACAAGATTTCTACATGTTCAACTAGAAGTTAAATTGTTTCATTTCAATAATGGTTGAAAAGTTAGCCTTGCATGTAAAATCATACTCCTACCATTCCAGAATAACAGAAATTTTTTGGGGTGCTGCAAAATAAATGCTACATTTCCTTTCTTAACAAATTTCCAATTTAGAACTACCTCTTTGTCAACTAGTAACTGTTGCGAAGTACTGATAGCATTGATTTGGTCTACAAAATTCTTTTGTTCTATCACTGTTGAGGTATTTAAGATATTTGACTTGGGCAAACATCATGTTATTGACCATCTAAAGAACATTGCTCATTCTCAAGCTCAAATCCAAAGGCATATGACGTCAAGCTACAAACCAGGATGTGGATGCTTAAAGTTGAGTTGGAAGAGAAAAGTTCATTTTCAAGATTCAGCCCTAGCACCTTCCAAAATTAAGTTTGACAATTGGATTTTACTTTTTATATCCATAATGTTCTATTCTAATACTATTGACATGGTTAAAATGTAGTCATTATATTTTCCTGAGGAAACGGTCTCTCTATTCTTTGGTATAGATGTAAGGTCTGTATACAATCATCCTATCGTACAGGAAGACCCAACTCTATGTGGGATTCAATGACTTCGTTTGGTTTGGTTTTTTTACAGATTTGACACATGTAAAATACCCTCCTTTTTGCCACATTCTCATCCACAGGACGACAGGTACTTCCCTAAGATTTTTTTTATAAAGTTTTCATGAAAATAATTTACACACTAAAATGTTCAATCAAGCTTTTCTTCTTAAACATTATTTGAAACCTAAAATTTCAATATTTTATGGATCTTTTCTTCGTTGTCGCTGCCAAACATGAAAGAAGAACTTTAGCATACAATGATAACATAAACATAATTGGATTCTATGATGCATGTACAAACCTTGCCACTGCGAATTTCCCGATTAATGAAGTAACGACTAGAATGGACAGGCTTTTCTCTAGATGCATGAATATGGACGGAAAATCTACCTTCATGTCCCTAAAACATACAAAAAGGTGTCCATGAGTAAATAAACGAATCTAAAACAACAGACTGTTCAGTAGTTTTAACAAATACCAACATTTACTTGTGTTTCCATCTAAGATGGAAGCTATAACATTATGCAACTTATAGGTAAACCGATGATGTTCACTTTTATATGTATCGCTGTGTATATATGATGCTGAAACGAAATCAAACTACCACAGGAGCCCAGTATCTCACCCTGAGGTGGGATTTTTTTTTTTGTGGGGAGGTGTGGGATGTAGGCAGATCTGGTATCTACCTGAAAGAGCAGAGCTGTTGTTTCCAAAATGTATATATGATGCTCTTTCACGAAATGGTCACAAAAAGAGTGTGTTACTGAAATGCCATTACATACCTCAAAAAATTTGTCCCACAACTTCTCGAAAGGCAAAGATCCAGGGCTCAAGAACATGAAAGCAATCTTGGGATTGTTCGACTCAATTGATGGCGTTTTCAAGATATTCTTGATAACAACACGAGAAGCAATCTCATCGTCACTAAGTTGTCTTGTAGGTGGCGGAAGCCAACTAGAAAAGGTCTTACAACTAGAAGACAAGATAATGTAACAGGCACCCGAATGTTGAAGTGGATAAACATAAGCAAAAACTAAGAAAACGCAAACCAATGAAACCAATACAATAATCCAAGTTGGTTTCTTTAGTTGAGCACGATGGCGAGGCGGAGGCAAGATATGATTGTCTTTCATGCCTATACGCCAAGCCTGAGCTGCCTTCATTTAAAGATGATGCATTACACGTTTATATCCAATAGAATAGTCTCTTTTCTGCAATGAACATCAAACTCAAAACTATAGAGTATACACTACTATCGATCAACCCCTACCAAAACTTTAATTATCTGAACCTGCAAACAAGAAAGTAAATTATCAACAAAATGAACACCCACTCGAAGGTAGGTTCGAGGGTAGGATGTCATGTAACCAAACATTTCCTCAACCCCAACGGATAGAGAGATTGTTTCCATTCAAAATATAAACGACGTAAAGAAAAGTAGCAAAAGAGTGTGCAAACAGGTATCAGTACAGTAAACAGAAAACGACAGCGGGAAGAGGAAAAGGGTTAAAACAACCAAGAAAACACAATGCACTGTACGGAGAATATAAAATCTATCCACCCTGGCAGCTTGTATCATGCAAATTCAAGATCCAAACATTTTTGTATCAAATAGTTAGATTTTAGATCAATCACATGGAAGATAGGAAGATATGCTAGTATTCCGTTTTTTCTTCCCAACATTAGGGAATAGAAATGTCTAAAATTGTCCATTGCCCAAGTTAAGATCCATACAATTAGCTCTGAAACAGCCGTTTAAAATCATATTTCTTGATCTGTGAAAAACAAGAATCATAAGGAAAAACATCAGGATGCAAACATCCAACATAAATCGAGCCCATTCCAATAGTATGAATAACAAATGACTTGAGTTAATTTAACTACATATAAACCCTTTTAACCTGTCATCGTTATGAAGCATAGAATCCAAATTGAACTAATTTCTAAGACCAAAATTCAGCAATAAAACGATAAAGAAAGAAGAAAGCACAAAATTAAAATTTCCTAACAATTTATAAAAAAAGATGGAAGTCAGAAACCACCCATCTTAGTAAGCGACCAAATCCAGCTCCTAATTCAGACATTGCATACATAGACACGAAACCTTCATGGCTTTAATTCCCTACATGGCACACGCAGAACTCATGCGTTTACATACAGACAAACATGTATCTGTATATAATTAAATGTAACATCATAAAACCCCAAGAAGAAAAATATGTCTAATCTTCATAGAATTCACACCCACTACTCATTTGAACATTGCAGAATAGAATCTGATCGATAACGAATTTGGGGGATTGTTTATGCTAAATTAATACGAAAAAGAAATGAGATAGTGGCTAATACCTGATTAAAAAGATCTTTCCCTCAATCTGTTTCTTCGAAAACATTAATCTTCAATCAAATAAGATCTCTCAATGGGGACTCAAGATCTGGAAAGGAACCAAGAAACAAGCCGAATAGAGAGAGGGTTATCTGTAATATTGATATATGCTCGGAAACAAAGGGTAGGTGGGTGGGGGTTTTAGTCGATTCGCTTCAGTTGTGGTTGATGAATGGAGATTGGAAGATGGGGGATGAAGATTAAAAACAGTGACGTATTTTGATGGGTTGCTTTGTGTATTTACAGAGCCCATTGAACAGGAACAATTCTGCCGGCGAATTTTGTAACAGTCGGGTGTGGGCGTGTTTTTTTATTAATTTTTTAAAATAAATTAACTTATATATGTTACAATTAGCAATGATTATCACTAAATTAGCAGTAACATTAACAATTTGTGATGAGAAAAAGGAGAATAATTGGAGAAAATTATCAATTTATAAAAGTGTATTCAAGTGTGATTTTAATTTCTACATAATGGGATATTTATACTCCATAATTCATAAACTCATATTCATTTACACGGGTTCAAAGGATAATATCATAGTAGATTTGACATAGGAGTTGAAAATGTTTGTCCATATGTTACATCAATCCTTCATTATATACAACACTTCCCCTTGGATGACAATTTTAAAGTGGAGTTTCAACTTTGAAGTATTGTCTCATTAAAAACCTTTGCTAAAGAAAACCTAGTGGGAACAACTTTAGCTAAGGAAAAAGAGTGCCACTGGTACTTGACTTCCCTGATATTAGCATCCACGAATCGTCACATGTTATATATGTATCGCATACGGATACTGTGAACATGTTTTGTAAAAGTTGCAGTAGGTAGTGCCTTTGTGAAAAGATCCGCTACGTTGTTGCTCGATTAAATATTGTTGGGTTTTAGTTTGTGAAAATAATCGGATAAAACGCAGCAGGAAAACAAAACCCGCTTACAAAAACATTTAGATTTTTTCTAAATAAAACCCAAAGCCGGATCCATTGACAATTAAAACGAATCTATACAAACCATAGAGTGTTTAAAATATTTACTTTGTGGTTGAAATTGAAACTTTGATATAGCACTAAGAAACCAAATCAGGTTCCCTCTATCGGTTGTCCACACACGAACACGCTTGGAACTCCCATCTGGTGTTAGCCCAAAGAATCCTAATTCTATAATTGTATCGTAAGGGTTTTGAGGCTACAACTAGTTATCATAACTCAATCCTCTACTTTGATTTAGCCCCTAACCCTTATTTAAGATTGACCATAACTCTTAGTAAGGCTTAATCATTATCTAAAATGATTATTTATTTATCTAATAATATCTTATATAATTATCTAAAAACATTTAAGATAATTACATACATATGTATAGATTAAATCCTGTAATTATAATAATCACAAAACGGTACACATGTTTAGATTCTTTCTTTAGTGGAAGCATACGTGTTTTGTGTGTGCGACCCTTTAGGTTTACATGGCTCGTTGGCAGTGTATCTGGTTGACACGTGTTGGGTATAACATACAACTTACATTTTCCCACTTACACATGACACACTGTAACACATACAGTGGTAAGCGTCTAGCAACACGTCAGTGCCTCCAACACTATGTAAATGTGCTTTTCTTCTAGAAATTTGATTGATCCAATCAATCATATATTGGAGTCATTCATCATCCCTTTGCTTCACGATATTTGAATTTAACTTCTAAGGCATAGATCTTGCTCATCCTTTCTAGTTCAAAATTATATTTCTCCATCCTAACACGTCTTGATTAGACTGGTGCTATTGGTTCAACCAATACATCAGTCAATGGCCATGTTAATCAAATTGTGTCATCGAGGGGCCCAAAAATATCTATCTCATCTTGAAAGGAGCAAATCCTATTTTGCATGTACACGACTATACACTATCTATGTTTTGCCCAACATAGTCCTTATGATCACCTGGTTAAGGGTAACTTTAAAATATATCAAAGCACAACACTTTTCATGCATTTAGGTACCAATGTACATCTTAGGTCTAAGGATAAGAAAATTTACTTATTTCAGGACTCACCTTATGACGTCGATCTATGAGGTGATCCTGACCGTGGGTCTTATCCAACACTTGCCCTCGACAAGTGCATGTGACTTTGGTTGCACTCATTGCGCTTCCAACTTGGACTATCACCAAACTTTACAATAACCTTGATTTATTACTAGTCCCCTAGTAATAATTGGTCAAGGACAATTCTAAATAATATGATCATCATTTTATTTAAGGATACTTAAACGTGCAAAAATTGAACACAATAATGTTAAATGTAAATACCCATATCCAATATGTCAAAACATATAAAACATAATTGTTTATCGTTCAAATAATTAAAGTCTACTACTAAGATCCATTATACTAATGTATTACAGAACCTCAAGCCTATCGAACTAGTATGAGCATCATGCTTGTTTTGACTCAAAGGCTTGGTGAGAGGATCTGCTGGATTTTCTTCTGATCGAACTTTGCATATCTTTACATCACCTCGATCAATAATTTCATGAATTAGGTGATATCTTCTTTGTACATGCTTAGAGCGCTGATGTGACCTTGGTTCTTTTGCTTGAGCTATGACACCCTCGTTGTCGCAATAGATCTCGACAGGGTCACATATGCTAGGAACTACCCTAAGGTCAGAGATGGATTTCTATATCCAAACAGCTTCCTTTGCGGCGTCTGATGCTGCAATGTACTCTGATTCTGTAGTTGAGTCTGCTATAGTGCTTTGTTTGTAGCTCTTCCAACTCACAGCACCTCCGTTTAACACAAACACATATCCCGATTGTGATTTAAAGTCATCACGGTCGGTCTGGAAACTAGCATATGCATATCCTTGGATACACAAATCTCTTTCTTCACCTTCATACAGTAAAAACATATCCTTAGTTCTTCTCAGGTATTTCAGGATATTCTTTACTGCTACCCAATGAGCATCACCTGGGTTCGACTGATATCTGCTCGTCATGCTTAAAGCATACAATACGTCTGGTCTAGTACATAGCATGGCATACATTATTGAAACGATGCCTGAAGCATATGGAACATCCTTCATGCGGTTCATGTCCTCTTTAATACTAGGACATTGAGTTTTACTCAGTTGTATGTCGTGTACCATTGGCAAGTTTCCTCTCTTGGAACCTCCATCTTGAAGTGTTTCAAGATTTTGTCAATGTATGTACTTTGGCTTAATCCAATTAATAGATCTTTATGCCAAGAATATATGATGCCTCTCCTAAATCCTTCATCGCGAAACATTTCCCTAACCATGTTTTTACTTCCTTAAGTGTTGGGTTGTTGTTTCCGATGATTAGTATATCATCGACATATAGTATTAGGAATACTATTATGCTCCCACTGACCTTCTTGTATACACAAGGTTCATCTTCGTTTTTTATGAAACCAAATTCCTTGATTTTCTCGTCAAAACGAAGGTTCCAACTACGAGATGTTTGCTTCAGTCCATATATGGACTTCTGCAATTTACATACCTTACCAGGATACTTTGGATGTTTAAAACCTTCTGGTTGTACCATGTATACGTCCTTGCTTAAGGATCCGTTAAGGAATGTGGTTTTAACATCTATTTGCCATATCTCATAGCCATGATATGCAGCTATGGCAAGTACGATCCTGATCAATTTTATCATAGCTACCGGAGAAAAGGTTTAATCATAATTTACTCTTTGAGTCTGTGTGAAACCTTTTGCTACCAACCTAGCTTTATAGGTATGTACAATCCCATCCATGTCAGTTTTCTTTTTGAATACCCATTTGCATCCTACGATTTTGYAGCCGACRGGTGCATCTACCAAKTTCCAAACTTGGTYATMTGYCATGGATTGTATTTCGGCCTTCATGGCATCATGCCATTTATCAGATTCCAAACCTGATACGGCTTCCTGGTAGGTAATTGGTTCATCTTGAACCATGTCATTTCCAATAAGATAACCATATCTTTCAGGCTCAAGACGGYTCYTACATGATTTTYGGATTGTTTGTATCTYGTCATTTTCCTCTACAACTTGTTGAGGTTGATCATCTCGTTGTTGGTCAGGGTCAACCATTGTCTCATCTTGTGGTTCTTGAGTTTCCTCAAGATCTACTGTATTCCCTGTTGTGGTTCTTGATAGAAAATCATTTTCTAAGAACTCACGGCGTCGCGCAACAAAGATTTTGTTCTTGCTGGGTTTGTAGAAATAATATCCAATAGTCTCTTCTGGATATCCCACAAAGATGCATTTTTCAGACCTCAGGTCAAGCTTTTTAGAAGCCTCTTGCTTAACATAAGCATTACAACCCCATATTCTCATATAAGACAGTTTTGGGATTTTCCATACCACAATTCATATGGAGTCTTTTCGGTCTTTTGGTTTGGTACATTATTTAGCATTCAGGCACCTGTTTCTAGGGCATATCCCCAGAAACTCTTTGGCAGATTGGTACAACTCATAATAGAGCGAACCATATCCAACAAGGTTCTATTTCCCCTTTTGGACACACCATTATGTTGTGGTGTTTTTGGAGGAGATAGTTGGGATACTATCCCATAATCTCTTAGATGTTCAATAAACTCTTGGCTTAAATATTCACAACCTCGATCAGACCGAAGAACATTTATTTTCTTGCCAAGTTGATTCTCTACTTCATTTTGAAACTCTTTGAATTTTTCAAAGCTTTCAAATTTGTTTTTCATTAGGTAAACATACCCGTATCTACTGAAGTCATCACTAAATGTTATGAAGTAGCGATGCCTATTTCTTGTGACTGAACTAAAAGGCCCACATACATCAGTATGAATGACTGCTAAAAGTTCTGTAGCTCTTTTAGGCTTACCTTTAAAAGGTGTCTTAGTCATCTTTTCCTAATAAACAAGCCTCACATGTGTCATATGAATCATCACATGATTTCAATACTCCGTCTGCCTGAAGTTTGGCTATGCGTTTCTTGTTTATATGTCCAAGACGACAATGCCATAAGTAGGTTTGATTCAAGCCTCGCTTGATCCGTTTATTGTTTACATTGTATATGATTCATAATTACAACTATTTTGAATATCAATTTTATAAATACCATTCCTTGGTTTCGCCACGAAATACAAAACATTGTCAAGATAAGCTAAAATTGTATTGTTGCTGAAAGTAAACATAAATCCAGTATGTTGTAATTGAGAAAACGAAATTGTGTT